AAACTCTCCCTTTGGAAGTCTTCAAGACTATCTGCGTGAGTGTAAACACAGCGTCACTCTAATATGTCATCACTCAGTAACCAGTACGAAGTAATTGCCGAATTCATCAGATTTGGAACACAGATAGCAAATGGTTTAATTTTTCTAGAAGAAAAAGAGGTAAATACTACATTGATGGTTCTATAACGATATGTCACCTGACTCTCATACTGCATCTATTACAAATATTTGTATATTTTAATGTATTTATAGTAGAGAACAAATTGAAAAGATTGTTGAAACATAAACCATATTTTTTTTTCGCGTTTGACGCAACACGGCTTTGCATGAAAATCACAAATTTAATTGTTTCCGATAACTTAAGCAATAATTAGGTGAATTATGTAAAATACGTTTCCGAATATATTGTCTATCGGTTGGTTTAACATTGAATGATAACATAACACTAGGAACATACATTTTTTACAATTTTTACATAATGTTTTCCCAATCCGATATAACGTATTAAATATTTGTTTCTTATATTTTATTATATTATACAATTTAATATGTAATATAATAATTCAATAATTTAATAGCCACTACACTTCTTTAAAATGTTCATAGAACGTGAATAATGAATGAAACTTATCTCGCTTGATCCCATCCTTGTCAAATATTCTATGTTAATGACAATAATATATGCATTACAGTCACACAGAACCACCCACATGGCCCTATAATTTTTTCAGGGATTGGAAATCAAATATTTTGTCATAGAATTGTGAATTATCAAGGATTTCAGCTTGTACCGAATTCGTAAATGTGAATAAAATGCTCTGATTAATATAAAACCAAGCGGATAATGTCCTTGAACTTGCCCGTAATATCATCACTGTATATAGCAAACTGTCATTTTTTCCGAACTTACTTACATGCAACTCATATATTTATTGTTACATGTGTACAACACATTGTTAACATCACATTGAAGATTGCAAATATGTGAGCCACATTTCCATGCCAGGTTTTGTAAACTCGACGATCCGACTAATTAATCGCATAATATTACCTGGCTGGCGTCGTGGCTTAGTTGAAAAATAACACTGTATATTGGTGGTGAATTTTAGCTTTTGTTATTTTTATATTTATTAGTGTGTGATCCGAACATTGGCTGCTAAAAATATTCAAATAGGACATAACGCTGTGTGTAAGATTTCAGATTTAGGATTCTCCACTACTGTGATGACGTCAAACAAATTCGAAATCTATACAAGTGTGAGTTAATTTAATATTATTAGACAAAGCAAAATTCACATCATAAGTGACGTGTTATATAATATATGCTTGTCCTTTATACACAATACTTTTTCAGGGTCGTCTTCCATTGCGATGGATGGCACTGGAATCATTGTTGGATTGTTTCTATACAACTAAATCAGATACATGGTGTTATGGGATAGTACTGTGGGAAATATTTAACTATGGTAAGAAAATAAATCTGTGTCTGAGATCTCTTATCTTCACTTCACACATGTGGTTGGCCAACACAATTATTGAAATTATTATATTGAAGTAAATGTTTTCTAGGTGACACACCTTATCCTGGTATGGACGCTGGTGATATATTATACGAACTGCAGCAAGGGTATCGAATGTCAAAGCCAAGTAACTGTGATGACAGCATGTAAGACATTGATTTTTGATAAGAGGATATGTGCAATTCGTAGTGGCGCTAAACTACATATTTATATTACATTCAAAATAATCTTTCGCTATCTCAGTAGAGAACTATGGCTGTATATACAAGCCAAGTGATTGACAGTGCGAGCAGCGAATCGGGTACCATGTTAAATACAGTTAATTTTGCATCAATGAAAGACAAAGAATGGCCATACTTCGTGTATAATGTGGTTCTAGTTTCTGACTGGTCAGTGTCAACAGATTGTGGGAATTTGAAAATGATGTACGAAGATTTTTACCTTGCCTAGGTCTTTAAATTAAAAGAGAGAAGCCAATATATAAGTGACTTAAACCACGGTACATAGGGAAGTTTATTTTGACCACAGCCTCAAAACGCCCCCTTTGTCTCGTGGTGTTGGTAACAATAAAACTCTGTGAGCATAAGACACCTTTTTGTTCAGAACTAGTATGTAATGTACCCAACCCTGACACCTAACATTCAGACCAGTAAGCTATATATCCGTGTATATTTAGACGTGTTTTTACGTATTAAATTATGTCCTGTGTATATGCTTCGCCTCTACTGAAATAACTATATTATATAACCAATTTGAGACAAAATACTGTTTTATTCTGTTTCGAATGTATATAGATACAACGTGATGTTTGACTGTTGGAAGCAAGACCCCTCATCAAGACCTTGCTATCAAGAGATAATTCGACAACTGAACAACAATGAACAAAGCGAATCAGTGAGTATATGTGTCGAAAATGTCAGAAAATATAATCCGTACAGAATTAACGACCAAGATATAGTATTAATCATATTATCTATTATTTAACAGAGAATGGACAGTAATTCATTGTATATCAACACTAATTTCATTCAGAAGATATGCTGATATGACCCAGCGCTATTACAAAAAGTAAAACAGCACACAGCAGTGTTTTAAACTTGTAAATTTATATTTGGTACGTGAATGTAGCCTGTGATAAATGATAAAAATAAAAAAAAAAACTTCCTGAAATAATTTCGGAAATTTAATTGTGTTTTTATATTGAACATTAACATGAATTATTTTTAAAATTATGTAGAGGTGTTCGACGCTCGTGTATCTCTTCGGTAACCAAATTATGCATTTCCTTATAATAAGTTACGGATTATTGAGTGGCATCGCGTATCATCTTACGCAGATACCGACCTTTTCAATACCAACGTTTTGAAATTGTCACTATGCTATCAATTTGCTACTCAATGAAAACGATGAGAATAATTATGTCTAACTTAGACTAGTCATGAATTGTAAATAACCCCGGAACGAATGAAATGGAGAAAGTATTCATATTCACAATGTAAAAATCAATCTGAATAATTTTATTATGTGATGTTTATCAATGTGATTAACGTATTTATGTGTACAATTAATTACAAGTGTGTATTATGTCGCATACTATTGATCTTGTTCTATATTGAACAACAAATAAAATGATATATACTGTACATGGTGTTACATGAGTCGACCTTTAATATGGTCATACATACAAATGTCAATCATTAACCAATTTATATTAAGGTTGCTATGGATACTAATAGGGAACCATATATGGGAACATAGCTGTAGCTAAACTCTGCGATAGTTCATTGAACTAGTAAATATTATTGAAAACATAAGAATATTTGTTTTTCCATCTCGAA